GGCGGAAGGTGCGGCCGCCCTGCCGAGCCCGGGGTCGCCGCGATGCCGTTCCTGCACGGCTTCCGGAGGATCATCTTCGAGTACCAGCCGCTGGTGGATGCGATTCTGGGCTCCCTGGGCATTCAGGACCCCGAGCGGCAGGAGCCCCTGGACGGGTAACTCGCTCCCTCCCCGCCGGCCTGTGGGGGCCGCCGCGACCCGTCGCTGCTTCCTTTTAATTGTCGCTGCGAGCGGAGCGGGGCGGAGAGGAGGGTATCTGTGACCCCACCTTTCAGATAAGAAACTGAGGCGGAGGCCGGAGTTGCGCGGCTTCGAGTGCGAGCTCCCCCGCGCTGGCTCACATCCTGCCCGGTGCAGGGGGCGGGGCGCTCCCGGCCAGCGCGGGGAGGGCTGCGGGACGGGTGTCGGCGAGGCCTCCGCCTCACTGCCCACCCTGTGCCCTGTTCGGTGCCCTCCGCCCGGAGTTGCAAAGGAGCAGAGGGCCTCAGTTTTTACCCGAGAGCAGAGCGAAAATAAACTTTCTGTAGCCGAGTTTGCGTTTTATATAGACATGAGTACTCTCCCCGTGACCCGGTGGGGAAGATGTCAGAAAGTGAATCATTCAGGGGGACGGCAGTGAGCTAAACAAAACCCCCAGCCTTCCTGACGTTTATGCGCCGGAGGAAGAGACTGACATGTTTAAAGTGTGTAGTGCTTCGGTGTCATGGAGGAAAGAGCAGAGGAAGGGGGGTGGGGGGTGCGTTTCTCAGATCAGTTGGAATTTCAAACACAGTGGTTATTATGCATCTCTTCCGGGGCTTTGGTGGAAGCGTAGGCTTTCTTCATCGCTGTTCTGTTCACTTGGAGGCTTGTTCGGAAAATGCAATGCAGGATGTTTCCTTAACTCCGAGGCTGTCTTGGGGTGAGTGGGCGGGCGTAGGGCAGCAAAGGGAGCTGCGTAGACTTCCGTAGTCCCAGAATGTTTTCTTTGCACCCATGGGGGCACTGGGCACACTCTCTAGAGACGGGGTGGGGGTGAGTTGGAATCCTGTCCAGGCAGTAAGGGTCGAAACTTGACCCCAACAATCGTAGGGGTGCAGATGGGTGCAGCTAAGGGGAAAAGGGGACTGGGGAGCACCAGTGGGGAAAGAAGCCTCACCAAGAGGAGGAGATGGTGGCTGTGAAGGGGCTTCGTGCAAGGTCATGGGCTGTCCCTGGGCCTGCACTTCTGGGGCAAGCCATGGCCGTTCTCAGAGATCAGTGCTGCCGGGGAGGTAGCGGGTTGGGGCTGGGGCGTGAAGAGCCTGCTGTGCACTCAGCCTTTGGGAGACCAGGAGGCTAATCATCTCCGTGAGTGAGAGAGAGCGGGGCAGGAGGCTACCCCGGCCGCAGGGCTTGCCCAGGCTGGTCCGGCCCCCTCTGCAGCTCAGGGACAATCAGGATCTGAGGAAGGAGCATCAGTGTCCGGTTCTTGCCCCTGGCTGCCGAGGGTCCCAGGTGGGTGACGCTTTGTACCCAAGCCAGGGATCAGATTCTCTGGGCTACTCGGGAGGAGGCTGGACACAGCTCCTTTCTGAGCAAACCTGGGGCATCTGCTCCAGTTCAGAGACCCAGCTTGGCCCCCTCCCTCCCACACAACTTTTCCAAAGAGACTTTCTGCTCACACAGCCCGGGCACTGCCTAGGGGGCTGATGACAGCAGAAGACTGAAGGCTTCTCACCCACAGGGTGCCCAGGCCAACTGGTTCCACAGCTCTTCCCACCCTCAACTGGTCCGCCTCTTTCTTGCCCCAGGCCCAGTTATGTCGCCAGTGAAGAGAGCCGGATCCTTGTTCTTACTGAGCTGCTGGAGAGAAAGGCTCACTCTCCATTTTACCAAGAAGGCGTGAGCAATGCCCTGTTGAAGATGGCCGAGCTGGGACTGACCCAGGCAGCCGATGTTCTTCTGCAGAACGGGGCCAACCTCAACTTTGAAGGTCAGGGGGAGCCCGGGGGCGCTGGAGTACATAGGTGGCTTAAGAGCAGCCTCGCCCTGGGCGGGCAGCCAGGCCTTTGGGCTCTGCCTGACTGTTCTCTTAGGAGCTACTTCATTTATTTCGTGGGTGACAACAAGGAGACCCACACTGGGTGGCCTCCCATCCCCCTGCAGGTTTTAGGTGGCCCTTACCACCTCCGGTCCAAGAGCAAGTTTGTTGCCGCTTCTGCCACGTGATGAGTTTAGCAGATCTTCCCAGCTCCCAGCCAATTCCCTGCTCCCACTAAGGTGGAAATGCAGCTGCTGGCACTGCACCCACGCTCGGGGAGGGTACATTTCTTGCCATTTATTCTGAGCCGTCTTGCATTTCTGTTCATGCCGTAGGGAGGAGGGAAAACAGGTAGGGCACCCTGGGCATAAATCACGGCGGGACCCTGTCGGCCCCTAGCTCGTAAGTGCCGGGTGGGAGTCGGGGAGGTGATGGAGGCTGCCTCTCCTGTCTGCCTTTCCCCCAGGGCGGGTGGAACCGTCCAGCAGATGTGCAGGGCCGACCTGCCTTGCTGGGGGTCTTCCTGCCAACACAGGACGTGGCCAGGCATGTCTCCCCTTCCCATGTGAGGACAGGCTCCGAGCCTGCTGAGCTCCTGGAGGGGCAAGGAGCTGAGGCAGGGGGCCCATCCTGGAGTCAGTCACTTGAAGCCCCAGTTTTGCGAACATGGCTGTTGTCGCCAGGCTTAAGGAGCTGTCGCTCCGTGTCCTCCCGACAGCCCGAGAGGAGATGCCCTATTCGATGGTCCCATTTTACAGAAGAGGAAACTAAAGCCCAAACAGATTAATTACTGTGCCCACTAGAACACCCCTGGGCCCCGAACCTGGATCTGACTCTAGAGCCTGCGCTGTAGCACCCGATGAGGACAGCTCCGTTCTGACCCCTGAGGGTGACAGTTCAGGCCTCCTCAGGTGGGAGTGCCTGGCTGGGCTGCCGGGCCAGGTCCTGGGATCCTGCAAGAATGTGCCCGTAGTTGGGACTGACATGAGCTATGTCTGTGCCCTCAGACCCAGTCACCTACTACACGGCCCTGCACATCGCCGTCCTGCGAAACCAGCCCGACATGGTGGAGCTGCTGGTGCGCCACGGGGCCGACATTAACCGGAGGGACCGGGTAAGAGCCAGGTCCCGCCCGCTCTGATGGGGGGAAGCAGTCGGGGGCTCTGAGCAGCCTCCCAGGCCCCCCGGCCGACCTGGCTTTGCTTTCTTGGCTCAGATCCACGAGAGCAGCCCCCTGGACCTGGCCAGTGAGGAGCCAGAGCGCCTGCCCTGCCTGCAGCGCCTCCTGGACCTCGGGGCAGACGTCAACGCAGCCGACAAGCATGGTGGGTACCTCCTGTGGGAAAGCAGGACAGCCCTGGGCCAAGGTGCCTGGTGAGAGAAACCCAGGGAACCCCAGGATGACAGGGAGGCAGGCTGGATGCAGCCCGTCGGCTGGCACAGCACGGCCTGGCGCACAGCTGCATTTTGCTGACTTGCAGAGGCTGTAGAGAGCAGTCACCGGCCCCACGCCAGCCCCGCTAAGGGCTGTCTGTAGGCGTGTGCGCTCAGCTTCTGAGCGAGTTGTGGCCTCCTGTCGTAAGACCCTCAGCTGGGTCTCTGCTGGCTTCTCAGGGTCCAGACGAACCCTACCTCTCCTGGCTCTTCTGTTGTGTTTTCTGTGGGTGGGAAGAGAAGAGCCAGCAACCGGTCGCCCTCAGCCCTGGCCGGGAGGTCAGTCTTTTGTAAAGTTCATCTTCTGGTCCTGAGCATGTTTCCCCCGGAGCTGCCTTGGCCTCCCACTCCTCACTCTCCATCCCTCCTTAGGAAAGACCGCTCTGCTCCACGCTTTGGCCAGCAGTGACGGCGTGCAGATCCACAATACCGAGAACATCCGGCTCCTCCTGGAAGGAGGTGAGGCTCTCCCCACGCCCCAAAACATGAAGCGTTACTTTGCAGGGGCTCAAGGCCTTCTCCCACTTTCTCTTCTTCTCCCCACTGGCTCTTCTAGGGGCAGACGTCAAGGCGACCACCAAAGATGGGGACACCGTGTTCACCTGCATCATCTTCCTGCTTGGTGAGACGGTGGGAGGGGACAAGGAGGAAGCCCAGATGATCAACCGCTTCTGCTTCCAAGTCACACAGCTGCTGCTGGCTCACGGCGCCGACCCCAGCGAGTGCCCAGCCCACGAGTCCCTCACGCACATCTGCCTCAAGAGCTTTAAGCTGCACTTCCCGCTCCTGCGCTTCCTGCTGGAGTCCGGAGCCGCCTACAACTGTTCCCTCCACGGTGCGTCCTGCTGGTCCGGCTTCCACATCGTCTTCGAGAGGCTCTGTTCCCACTCAGGCTGCACCGAAGACGAGAGCCACGTGGACCTCCTGCGCAAAGCCGAGACCGTCCTGGACCTCATGGTGACTAATTCCCCAAGACTGCAGCTGCCAGAAAACTTTGACATCCATCCGGTGGGCAGCCTGGCAGAAAAGATCCAGGCCCTTCACTTCTCCCTGAGGCAGCTGGAGAGCTACCCCCCGCCCCTCAAGCACCTGTGTCGCGTTTACATCCGGCTCTACCTTCAGCCATGGCCCGTGGACGCGAAGGTCAAAGCCCTACCTCTGCCCGACAGGCTGAAATGGTACCTCCTCAGTGAGCATGGCGGCCCCGTCGAGGACGACATCTGACAGCTCCCAGACCGAAGGGAACTGGGTCTGGGCAGCTCAGTCAGCCTGGTGGCGGATGTAAGTGCCCGCAGCGGCCTTAGCGGGGAGCCTCCGGTCCTGTCTGTCAGAGGCGCGGGTTGAAGACGGACGTGATCCTTCGTACAGAGAAAGCCCAGCGGGGCCAGCGGCTGCCATCATTCCAGTGGGAAAAGGCCTGTCTTTCACGGCGACTACCCCTTCCCTTCCTCCGGCAGCACCCCCACATTCTCAACCCACGCTGGAGAAAAGGACAGGGCTTAGACTTGGGACACGTTTATACTCCCTTAGTTTGTGAAGGGTGTGCCAGGCATTTCCAGGAGCGGGGCAGCTCCGAGTCCGCGTCCTCCTGACAGCTGCGTGGAGGCAGAGCTGAAGCCAAGAGGAAGCTGGGTGGGCTCATGGGGTGCAACCTAGCTGAGGCCCTTCACCCCGCCTCCTTTCGTGCCAGATTGTCACTTACAAGTGCTTCTGGTGGGCCGGGGAGAAAGCTGACCTGACTCCTGTTAGCATCTGCAGCTCTCCTGCGGCCCCGCCCACCGAGGCACAAGGCTGTGTTCTGGTGGCCGCTCTGTGCCAAACCCAAGATCTTGGGGACCATGCCTTCTGCTAAAAAGCAATCATGCATGACCAGGGACAGCCCTTTCCAAAATATTTCATTTTGTGAGGGGCTCACTGTTGGAGAAGGTTACCGAGACCGGAAGCTGAGTGTCCCACCCAGTGCCGAGCCCTCACCAAGCTGTTTTCGTCACATTGGTCATTGTGAATTGTGTAAATGCCTCAGAAATAAATTGAGGCCACGGAATGATATATTTATATTACCAAATTAAACTGATTTCTCTTGGCCTTAAAGGTCTTCATATAACATCTCTGTACCCCCAGTTTTGGATGAAAGACCCCACAGCGGCCGGGAAGGAGAGGTGGTCGGCATGCACAGATGCAGCATTTGGGGGGCCGATTTTCAGGTAGCCAGCGCTTGCTGCATAAAGAAAAGCACCACCGCACACAGGCCGGACCTTCCCAGCACAGGGATCCACCCTTTTATTTTTGACTGGAAATGCCCGCCCAGAGCGAGGCTGCAGCCTTCTCTCCTTGCTTCAGGCTATTGTGATGATCACATTAAGGACACCAGGGTCCCATCATCAAAGAGGACTCAGAACATGAGCTCCCTGCCAGCTGCATGATCCGGCAGGTGCCACGTGGGCTTGCTGCAGGCTCCAGCAGCCTGTCCGTCTCCCCCGAGGTAGCGTCCTCAACAACCAAGTTAAGGGGTTTCTCTTCCTCTTAAGGCAGCCAGGCCTGGGGCCACAAGGCCCAGTGGTCGTAAGAGACCCAGGAACCTCCGCTTCTGATGGATCACTGTATTCCCGCAGAGGGGCCCCCAAGTCGCACAGGCCTGCACTGCCCAGTCCCTTGCCTTAGGGTGGCAGAGCCAGGCTCCTGCCTTGCTGCCCATTCAGCTGCACCCCTCCCCTCTGGGTCCTGTCATTTTTAAGAAGAGCCTGTGTAGTGAGTGGACGGCAGGCAGATGTATTTAGTGGCCTCGCTCGACACTCGCGACCCATCGACGTGGAGCCTCTGTGTGGCACCCAGCTGCCAGCTCCCCCCACCCCTGCACCTGTCTCTCTCGTCCTGCCAGGCCCCGCTCATCTCAGGGCTAAGCTGTAGACATGGTAGATCTCGTCGGGGAGGTTCTCCTGCCGCTCCTGGGCCAGGAGGCTGAGGCCCGCGCTGCGGATGATGCTGTGGACCACCCCGAGGTCCCGGCACACGCTGCTGTCCACGTCGTCCAGGATCACACCCTCTTGAGCCATGTTGTCCTTGATGACGATGACGCCGTTGGGGCGAAGGCCCCGCTTGCAGCGCCGCAGGAACTCGGCCAGGTGCTGGTCGGTCAGGTGGCCTGGTGGAGGCGGAGGTGCGGGTGGTAGGGGTGCTGTGAGCACAGCACCAGGGGTCTCAGCCACCACCCACTGACCGACGAGCACTTTGTGCTCAACACACAGGGCCTCACTGGCTCTCTGAAGAGGAAACTGGCCCAGAAGTCACCTACCCAAGGAGATCACGAAGTGTGCAGCTGGGATTTCACCCTGAGCGGTGACTTCCAGGCCCTGCCTGGTACCTGACACTCCGCCCACCCTCCCAGGCCTGCATCAGGGGAGTGCACTAGAGTTCCTTCCCTACTCCAGGCTGAGGCTTTGGGGGAGCACAGAATAAGAGGCCAGACCCAACATGTCCCCCAGTGTCCCCCAGCAGGAGACGGTAGCCGACTGCCAGGCCAGTGGCCTGGGAAGAGCACCCTGGGTGTGCCGTCAGGCTGAGGGTGAAGGACAGGACGACAAAGCGGGGCCCCACTGTCAACAGCTGGGACAGCAGGCCTTCAACTTTTCCTCTTACTAAAAAAAACCTTTTGTAAAAACTGGCCACGTTCTCTGAACACAGCAAGTTATTGGTCATTTAAATTTTTAAAACAGAAAACGGCCCCAGTGGGCTACAGTGGGTACTGAATGGAAACGAGCCATGGAAGGAGATGCACCTTCTGGGGGTAGGGAGTGCGGGGGCTGCAGGGGGCACCGGCCAGGGCCGCGGGGGCGGGGAGGCGGGATGCTCACCGATCACCCACTGGATCCAGATGACGTCGTACGAGTTAGGCTCTGGGCTGAAGTCCTGGAGGCCACAGCAGAAGTAGTTCCTCACCCTCTTGCCCTCCTCACCCAGGTAGGTCTTCGCTTTCACCAGGAAGTCCTCCGTCACGTCCACCATGTCCACCGCCCCGAAGAGCGGCAGGAGCAGCCGCTTGGTGATCCTTCCGATGCCGGCGCCGCAGTCCAGGGCGCAGGAGGTGCCCGTCTTGTTTGGGCCTTCCTAAGATGCAGGGAAGGCGGAGGTGCTGTCAGGAAGGGACCGAAAGCCCGAGGGACCCTGTCACTGCACCGGGGCCACCCCTCACGAGCCCCTGGGTTTACTCAGATCTGGACCAGGCACAGGCTGGGGGCTGGCTCAGTAGGGGCATCACTGTGTGAGCACAGCACATTCTTTTTCTGGGCCACGCGTTTCTAAAATGAAAGCCAACTTCCGATTAAAGGTGCTAATTCAAACAGGTGCATTCATCTCTCACGCCTGAGACGCCATGAGAATGAGCGTGGAGGATAAAAAGAATTCATGCGTGAACATGGAAGAAGACAATCAGCTAGCGTCTACGGGATTCTAACCCATTTGGGAAGACAGGGAGTGACAGACACCAGTCAGAGCAGCAGCCTCGGAGCTTGCGGGGGTGGTCAGGGAGGCTCCAGCCACGGAGAGGCCAGCCCGGGCCGGGAGGGCAGTGGGGGCGAGTAACCGGGGGCCTGCCTTCGCCAGAACAGCCAAGCCCCGCAGCCCAAGTGCCCAGGAACAGGGCAGGAGGGCAGAGGTTTCGTCCCTGGCAAAACTGGACAGCTTACGGGGAGACTACTCGATTCTGGCATCTGGGGGTCCCCCAGCTCCTGTCTGCAACCTTGAGCAAAGTCCACAGTCCACAAGCCGTCCCCTGCCCTTCAAGGCTTGGATGGTAGACACCGACAGGTAACCGAAGACCCTGCAGTGGCACACGTAAAGGTGGCGCCAGCGCCACTTCCTCTACTCCTGGAGGGCACACCAGACCTGCCTACCCTCAAAAACCTCTGCAGGAACTTCCGGGAGCTGTTGATGTCGATGCTGGAGATGTGGCCGTACCCCCCGAGCATGCCGTCCACCGTCGGTGGGACTTCTTTCCAGTACGTCTTCGCCTTCGAGTAGAATTGTTTCTCATCTTCTATCACCTCGCTCGTCATGCTGTCACCAACCACGTCTCTGCTCAGACACCGAACTCAGCAACAGCGCTTCCTGAATAAAAAAAGGAGCGATCAGACAGGTCGAGGGCCTCAGTCTCACACCGTGCCTTGCTGGCCACACAGTCCTGCCTGACATGGGGGACTGTCCGGTGTTCCCCGATCTGCTGCCGCCCCGTGGAGGTCGGTGCCTTCTGTCTCTTGCATTCAAGTCATTTTGCAAAGCTATCATCCTATCAGAGCAGGAGAGTTCTGGCTTCCAGTTTTCTCCTTACTCTACGTGACACCTGGCTCAATAGCCTCTGACCCCAGGGCACAGAGAACCCCAATCTGGACTTAAGAGAATGGACAGCGAAGCAAGGAGCCCAAGCCTCCTCCCACTGGGAATGTTCCAGCCAGGCCTAGGAGGGGCCCGGGCGGTCCCCACGCCTCCCTTCGTCTCCCTTGTCAGCACAGAAGCAAGTTCACTGTGGAGTCCAGCCCCTCGGTAACAGTGAGCCGGGACTGAGAGCCGGGAGACAGCCAGACAAGACACATACATGACGCTGTGTAAGGGCTGAGGAGAAGCACAAGGTGCTGGAAAGAGCACGTCCCAGAGGAACCTACTCCCTGGGGAAGTGACACGTCAGCTGAAATGAAGGATGAGGAAGCGTCTGCTAAGCGAACAGGGCGAGGAGACCACTCCAGGGAGAACGAGCCCAGAGCCCCTGAACCGGAAACTGCAGGTGCTGTGGGTCCCATCTAGTAGTTTAGATTCACCCTAAAGAGCAATGAGCTTGAACTACTCTGGGTTAAGCTGGGAGTGACGGGAAAAGATGTTTCTGGAAGACTGTGTCGGCAGCTGTGTGAACTGTAGGGGCAAGAGCGAAAACAGACAGATAGGAGTGTCACAGAACGGACAGAGGGGACCACAAAGCAACAACAGGGGCCCTGGCAACAAGCTCAGGAGGCAGGAGAGGGCGGAGGAATGGTTAGGTAGCTCCGCACTCAGCCAGCCTGGCCACGTCATGCCCCAGGGGGACGTTAGGCTCGTTTCTACCCTGGGGCGCTGGCGCTCATCGATACCAATTGTTGAGGCTTAGTTTCTACGATCTTGTCGATACCAAGTCCGACCCTGCGGTCCAAAAATGGAACCAACTAAAACAGGCAGAAACAGTGAGGACTCCCACTGAGCCCAAAAGTGCCATGGAAACCCCAAAGGATGGAGGAATCCTTTCTGAATGGCGGACGGGGCAGCAGCCGAGAGAAGGCGACAGACACCCTGAGATGTATCACTGTATTTCTCTTGCACCCCACGCGGCACATGTGTATTCAACAAAAAGTTCATTCCCATTAAATGAACAGGATAAATCTGGGCCAAACACTTACCTGGCTGTACTCTCTCTGCCTATGTGTTTGCCTTCCCTCCCTGGGTGTGAGCTTCCTGGGGGTCTTTGTAAACCATTAGCCTAGCACCTGATACAAGGGGGCGGGGGGGTGTGCTAATGAGTTGTTGAATGAATCAAAGATTGAGTTTTGTGCAGCTACAGCCATTTTCCACTTTTAAGAAACTCCCACAGATAAAAATCTGACCATTCAAAACTGATAACACTGAGGGCCATTACCGACAATATAATTTTTTGCTTTACCAAAAGCCTTATAACATGATTCCTTTAAATGTCAAGGTCCCCTGAATAATCTAATTTACAAGAATTCCACTTACAGGCAGATTCTAGGAACAAGGCAGGGAGGCCCATCTAGGCCGGGAAATGGCACGGATAACTGACATTTGTTCTAGCAGCTGATTCGTTAGCAAACAGGACTCCTGGGGCCCTGTCTATACTTGGCCTCCCGGTGTCCAGATTGGAGTGGGCAGGAGGTCCCTAGGAGTCGAGGGAACAGCGGTGTCATCAGTCAAACAGCAGGAAGTCCTCCTACACGCTGCCTAGACCCCCAGGTCGCAGTGACAAACCGTGCGGGTGCAAGGATGGGGAAGGGGCCTGGGCACGACCCGGCTCTGTGTACCCACTAGGCTGGCTCGGAGGTGGAGGGAGACCCTTCGCTCACAGTGCACTTCCGCTCCTCAGCAGGTAGAATGTGTCTGCGCATCCTTCATGGTGATCTGGCCACTTCCCCCTCCCCGTCCAAGGTGTTTACGGCAACACCTGGACAGCTGCCCCAGCTACCTCTTCCCGGGATCCGTGGAAGGCAATGGTGTTTGAACTGCCAGGGTCAGTGCCTGGCAGAGTCAGCTCATCCTCCCCGCTTCCAGTCTCTAAGAAGAAGCCTGGAAACAACAGGAGGCCAGAGGCTGCCTCAAGCCACCTCCTCCTCCTCCTCACAAGCTGCTGGACAGGGCCTGTTCTCCTTGGATCTGTGTGACTGCAACTGGCCGTATGAAAATGGCAGGGTGATCCAAGAAAAAGAAAGAGAAGGAGGGAGGAAGGAAGACCAAAAGAAAAAATTAAGGTAAAACTTTACAAACAAAGGCTCTGGTGGAGTCAGATGAACCCGGTCCGAATCCTGGCTCTGCTTCTCACCAGCTGTGTAAGCTCAGATAAGACACTTCACCTCAGTTATTTGAGTTTCTTTAGCTATAAAACAGGAGCAGCGATACTGACTTTATGGGCAGGCTGTGGCGATTCAATGTGGATATAAAAGCATAAAGTGATCCATACAGTGCCGGGCGCATATTGTCAGAGATTTCTAATCTGTCAAATGAGATTCTCGTCAGTTCCATCTGCCAATTGTAAAGATCGAGTGAGAAAAATCGACTGAAGTGCCCTGTACACTGTAGAGATTATTACTGTTACGTTGGCTGGTGAATCCAGCAGCCTCAAACAACTCTAGTCTGTAGGGGAGGGGGCGGGGCTCCCCATCCACGTGAGCACGAACCACTGCAGAGATTTGGGGGAGATGCTATCTTTGTGGCTCCATAGCTTCTGGTCTCCACCAAAGCATTCCCCATGTACCTCCAACCCCCAGTTTACAGACAGAAAAACCATTCCCCTAAAGGAGTGATGTGCCTTAAAATGCACACAGACAGGAAACCAGGAATAGAACGAGGAGGGAACCCAGGCGCTCATCCCATCGTACGGGGCAACGATTCTATACATTGTATACATCCAGACCATTTGCAAGAAGGCCCCACCTCACCAGCACCAGCAGGGCCTTTGACCCCAGCCGTTTCTATCCCCTATTGTAGGGAGAAACCACGGTCCCAAGACAGATCACACACAGTTGATGGGCTGCAAAGCCAGGCCTTTGGATAGGGCAGCCTCTATGCAAACAGGCTGACCTTGGCTCCAAGAGCTCTTGGCTGCGAATTGTCTTTTGAGCGGCACCTGTGTCAGGCCGTAACTAAGGCTGGGTCCAGGGTGAAATATGATAGCAACTCCTAAGCAACCGGCACTGCCGTGTGCCCGGCCCTGAACTGAGCATTTCACTGAATCCTGGCACCCACCCTGCGAGTAGGTGCTCTCCTTATCCCCGTTTCTCACAGGGGAAACTGAGGTCGAGGGAGGGAAAGGGACTTGCTGCAGTCCGCGGACCGGCGTGGTGGAGAACCCGGCCCAGGCTTTGGGTGCCCCGGCCTTCCTCCTCTCCCGCCCCCCGGGGCCCAGGTCCGGCCCGCAGCCCGTCCCGGAGCGCGCACGTGGGACCCCAGCCGGCTCGCGCCGGGTCACGTGACGAGCCGGGGCCTCTGGGTGCCGAGACAGTTGGAGGTCGAGGCTTCCCCTCTCCCGGCGGCCGCCGCCCCCCACTCCGCCTCGCGCTACTCACCCCGGGCGGGGGCCCCCCGGGACCCGGGAGATGAGGACGCGGAAATGGAAGGGAGGACGGAGGCAGCGAAGACCCTACGAGCCCACAACCACCTCCGTCAAACCGCGGCCAGACGTGACACCTCGCGGCGCGCGCTGCCTTTGTCCGCTCGCGTCATTTCCGGGTGCCTCGAGGGGGGTGGGGCTCCGGCTGGCTCCGCCCGGCGACCGCTTGCCCCGCCCCGTGGGCCCCTGCCCTAACTCACTCCTGTGTCGGTGCAAGGACGTCCCAGACTTAGAAGAGCCGCAGCAACGACCCTCTCCTGCCTCCAGCTCGTGCATTAGTTCGTTTGTAGGGCTCAAGGCTGGACTTTTAAAAACAAGCTTTCTTTGGGTTTTCCACTGGGTAAAAAATACAGGGGAGGGAGCCTTATTCCTCAAATGCCACCCATAACGATTAGCATCTTAATATCCAGATCCAAAAAGTAAAGAAAAAACAAAGAAATACCCTTGGTAGCAGTGCCAGTGGGCTGCCACCCCAAAGAAGCAGAACAAGTTCATGAAATTTCCATTCCAAACATGTTACCTTCCCCCAGGCTACTCCCGTATACAGAAATTCTGGAGCGTTCCCGAAGCAGCCTTGATGGAAATGTGAGTTTACAGGTGGGTAGACCTTGTGAAGTTCTCCAAGCCTGTCTCCTCTTCTGCTAAATTTATGGGATGTTACACATCAAGCCTTCAGCCCTACGCTTGCAGCTGTTATAATGACAATATTCATCCCAAGTTCACTTTACCTAAACTGACATCTGGTCTTAGAGTGATAGTGCCTTCCTCTGGGCACTGCACACAGAAGATGCTTAAAGTGTGTTTAATGAAGTGAAAACTGTGTGGCGGGTGCTGAAAAGCCCCCTTGTGTTGGAGTCCCCAAGCGTGTTTATATCCGTATAATTTAGCATCCTCTCTAGAGTACTCCAGATCAGCCTTAGGTTCCCTCCCAAGCTTCATTTTCCATGTCTCTAAGGGAAGGGGAGAAATCCTGGGCAATCTCAGTCACTGGGGGTGTCTAGAGTCTTATTTGGGGGGCAGCTCTGAGCTTAGGTCTTTTAGAGGTGCCTAAAAATCCACCCCTACCTTTTTTTCCTGCCAACGGAAGAGGGAGTCCCTTCCCCTTCACCCAGACTCCAAGGCCTTTCCAGGTCAGGCCAGCCTCCCCGACCTCAAAGCCTTTTGCGTTTTTGAACTCTCAAGCCTTGCGCATAGTAGTTGCTCGGTCGGTGTTTACAGCTTGGAAGGTATGGAGGGCTCCTCAGAATTCATCTCATCAGCCTGGTGTTCCTCATCCATTTTTTAAAAACTCACATATCTTTAGAATAAATATAAAAATTTCTCCCCTTCCCCACACAATATTCTAACTCCCCAAGGAAGTATGTCCTTCCATTCCTGGCCGAGGAGCGTTTGCAGAAATGAAATACATAGTCCGTGAGGCCTCCTCAAGGCAGATGCCTTGTAATTTGAATTAAAAAGTCTTTTTTTTTTTTTTTTTCCATTTTCAGATTGTAAAACTATACCGTGCCAGTGAAATTACTGGTCCAAATTACCCTCATTCCCCACTAGAATTTCACAACACAAGCGTCTTCCCTGCCCCTTCCCAGCTTAGAGTCACAGTGAGGCCCAACAGTTGGTTTTACCATGGCACCCTGGGAAAGGAGAGGCTTGTCCAGCATCACACTGCGCATAGAAGCAGACCATGGATTTGAAATTGACTCTCTCAGATTCCAGGCCCCCTGTGTTCGTTCGGCCCGGCCTCCAGGTGGAAGTTCTACTTCCAGAGCCACCAGCCCCAGTATAACCCACCCGAGCCTCCAGATCGGAAGGGTGTAGCCGAACCCTGGGCCTTCCTCCCCTGGAGGGGCTGGCTTCCCTGGTCAGGAGCCCCACCGGCCCCTCTGACTGCAGCTGTGGCAGGAGCACACTCAGTGGCTACAGGCCAGCCCCACCCCCTTGTCCCCAGGCCTCAGTGCCCACTGCTCCTCACATGACCTTAGGTGAGAGGCGGATCACAATGACACTGATAAGGCCCTCCGGACAGCAGGGAGGGGCCGGCAGAAGGACCAGGCCAGGAAGATGGGCTCTCCCAAGCACCAGCCACCTGTGGGGGCCTCTAAACTCACTGGGACATTCTCTGGCCCCACTCCAAAGCCCCAGTAGGGTGAGTATACCACTAGGGGCCAGCGGAGGGCTGACAGCATCTGGCAGTGGGGTGTAGTAAGGAAGAAGGAAGCTTGCTCCAAGAACTCCAGCGTCCAAAGCTGGGGGCGGATCTGGGGCTCCGTCTCCCAGAAAAGGATTTTGTTAAAAAAATATATATGTCTTCGTCCCACCCCACACCTACTAAATCAGAATCTGGGGCATCTGTATTTTCAACAAGCTCCCGCCCCAGCGGCTGGGAGGCCCCAGCAGTCTGAGCTCTCCTTTCAGGCCGGTTCCAGGTGTCCTAATTCCCAGGGGGAGCAAGCGCTAAAGCAGTAACAGCCTCCAGGACTTGCCACCGCACCTGCTAAGTGCTCTCTACCACCTGAGGGGTATTTCGCTCTCACGCAGGAGCAGGTGCTGAGGGGCGTTCATTAGTTGGCTCGGCCCACGTTACAAAGCTGATAAGTAGTGGAGCTGAGACTAAATCCTAAATAATAATCCTTTAAAAATCATCATAATGACAGCAGCTAGTGTTTGTTGAGCACGTACGACGTGCCGGATATTATTCTAAGCCACTTACGTGTGCTCGCTCATTTGAACGTCACAGCAACTCAAAAAGGTGGGGTACTCTTACCGTCACCATTTTCCAAGTGAGGAAACAGAGCCTGGGTGCGCTCTCGCCTACAGCCACTCAGTGTCTAGCAAGCCAGCGATGCTGCCCCCAAACCACGCGGCCCAGCTCTGGGCACCATGGCCTGGGGGCTGGTCTACGCCCTCCCCTCCACTTCACTCAATATCACCTGCCCCCACTGGCCTCAGGATGCTCTGAGCTGAGCGCGGGGCCAGGCATGCCTCAGCGTCACCCCAACCCCTGGGCCCAGCAGGGGGCGCCCAAGGGGCTCCCGCGCGAGGGCGCTCAGCGCAGCAGAGACCTGCTGCTGCCTAGGCTGCCGCCCTGCGAGCTCCGACCAGCGCCTGGCGCCGGGAGATGGGGGGCCTCGACAGCCTCCGGGGGCGGCGCCGAGTGTTGGCAGACCTCTGGCGGCGAATCGTCGCCCACCGAGCCTGGGGCGGGCGTCCCGAGCCCCCCACCACGCCTGCCCGCCCTGCCCACAGTGGCCCAACGGGTGGCACCGAACAGGACAGCGCTAAGGTCGCAGCTGCTGCCGCCCCTGCTCCTGGCCCGCGTGCCCCGGACACCCGCGCCCCCGCGTCCAGGGCCTGGAGAGAGCGAGGACTGCTGGAGGGGCTCGGCCAGGGAGGCCCCGAACTCCTCGGGCGCCCTCCGAGAAGAGTCCCTCCCTGGCAGGTTCCAGGAGTTCCTGCGCCAGCTCGGGGACAAGTGGCTAGAGCAGCCGCAGCCACTGAGTGAGGCCATCCTCGGGTCCCTAGGGGGCGGAGCAAGGGCGGGGCTGAGTCATTTCCGGTGTGTTGGAGGGCGGGGTCCCACCGCCTTGCACCGGAGGATGCTCGCGTTAGTTGAGTACCTGGCAGTCCTGGCAAGCATCCCTTGAGAGCCAGTCTACCACTGCCGCTATTGCAGGAATGAGGAAACTGAGGTCCAAGGCCATATAACAGGAAGACCCTAGAGTAAGGACTGTCCCTAAGCAAAGGCTCATAACTATTTCCACCTCCTCCCGGCTCCCAGCATCCTCAGAATCGAAACATCAGAGGGGTGTGTCAGAGCACTGCCAACGTTCTCCTCAGTGTCCCAACTGCCCCCTCCTCCCAGACCTGCGGTAAGCGTCAGTGACCTGCTGGTGGGAACAGGGTTGCCACTGATGCTGCATGGGTTGGGGACTCTGACCGCTCATGCCAGGTGTGGCCTCTCTGTCTTCAAGGGGCCAGCCATCGTACTTCCAGGATAGTCTTAAGAAGGTTTTGCTCCATCAGACACCTGCCCTGGGGCCGCTGAGGACAGATCACACACAATTCCCCACTATCAAAAAGGCCAGCAAGTGAGTATGGAAGGAGAGGGTCGGGAAGTGGGGCGAAAGAGCATTTCTTTCCTTCTTTTCTTGGTCTTTCACCCATGAATTTACCTATCTGTCCTCCACCTATTCACCTATGTGTCCACCCATGAGTCAGGTCTCCTGCCAAAGCATTTGTAATCCATTCGCGAATCTACCCATCCACCCATCCGTCTACTCATTCGTTACATAGATCTATCCGTGAATCAGGTTTTCTCCCAACTCATTCAAGGATCATCCATCTACGTCTACGAATGCATTCACCCATTAATCAGGTCTTCTACCAACATATTCATAATTCATCCATGAATCCATTCATACATTCATTCTCCCATTCGCGCATCCAACCTTACATAGATCTCATTTGTGAACCAGGTCTTCTATAACCTATTCATGAATCTCTCCAGCCGGCCAGCCACCCAGCCAGCCGGCCAGCCATTCACCCATGGATCAGGTCTCCTGTTAATCCATTAATACATTCATCCATCCATCTAGTCAGTCACCCATCTATTCACAAGCTCCCACAATTCTATCCATCCATTCATCCATCTATCCATGAATCTAAATTTGTGGATCAATCATCTACAAACCCTTCTAGATCCACTTAGAAATCCAGGACACTACCCGTCTCTAATCTAGTTGTGAAGCCATCTACAAGTCTACATACCCATATACATAATTATTCATCCACCTATCCGTACATCTACCCATCCTCCTAAAACCCAGCCCTATTCAGACCTTTTCATTCATCCATCAGTCCATCCATCCACCCACCTGTCCCACGTTAGAAGAAATTTTATCCATTTCTTCTAACGTTTATTAGGTTTTACTACATGTCAAATATTGGGAGAAATAAAATAAGGGATGGAGGTAGGAGAAGAGTCTGGGCATTAGAGCTTACCTGGACCTCAATACCACAGCTGTAATGGAGGGGGGAAAGAATGCAGAAAAAAAAATCCTCCAGCTTAAACGGAGGCGAAGGGTGAAGAGCATTGTCCACAAGTTTAAAGACCAGGGAGAGTAAATACGCAACACACGCACCATTCCTTCTCATCCTGGACCCATGGCAGACCGGACTAACAAATCACAGAATTTTCCCCCGTGGTGCCTCAGAACCCTTCCTGACACAGTGCTCCAGGCAGACGCCACCGCTGGTTCAGAGCAGGGCCCAGAAATGAAACGCATTTGCCAAGCCAGGAACTTTCAGTCAGTCAGACCAAATAAATATACTCCTTTTACACAAGATATAAAAAAATCAAAGTATGGAACTCAGTCTCAAATGTGGGCAGCAACAGGGATGGACACACGCACAACGTTCCATATTCAAAAGCTAATACTCGAGGGCCATCCAGCGAGTGAAATTCCCTGGTCTGCCCGGCGGGGCGTGGGGGTGGTGCTGGGGAGAACTCCAGGGTGCATTAGAACAGGCTCCAGCAGGCAGCCTTGGGGAGGAGAAGCTGAGATTTCAGACCTGCGGGCAGAGCTGGGGTGTGCTTTGGCCTAGCCCTGAGGCCAGCACTGAGCAGGCGTTGATATGCCAAAACTGTCGGATAAATAGATCCAATGCCTGTAGCCAGGCACTGTTTTGGACGCTTCTTGGCTATCTGGCTCTTTAGCAGGCTGATGAAAAGTCTCCGCTCTGGGCCCCACACAGACATGAAGATGTGGTCAGATAAACAGATACAGACTTATCGGTATGTATGTACTTAGGGTCCAACATGGCATTTCTGAGTCACAGGATCAGGCAGCCTGGCCCTGATGCTGAAACTCATAACAACAAATGTAACAATCACAGATCCCCTTTTCTGGGCACAGGCCCTCTAAGCTATTTGGGGCTCCCCAAACTCTTACAAGGATGCTATTATCGTGCCTATAATTTATAATCCATAATTTAAAGGGAGAAACTGCAAAATGGGAGACTTCAGGGCAGTCTGCTCGAGGTCACACGGCTGTGAAGGGCATAATCGAGACTGACAATTGTAATAAGAACAGTTTTTAGTGCAAGATGTTCACTCCTGACCCCACAATCTGTTTTCTCTCTTCACAGCCCGGTATGGTGGGTGTAATGATGGTCCCCATTTTACAGATAAAGAAGCTGAAGCTCCAAAGAGTTAGGGCTGAATCCCAGGACGGCCTGGATGGCCTGCCTCCTGAGTTCATGTCCTTACTGCCTTTGCCGAAGTGCCTGATATATGAGTGCCGGCTCTGGAACCAGGATTCCAGTCTTGGCTCCACCCCTTACCGGCTGCATGACCTTGAGCAAGTTGTAAAACATCTCTGTGCCTCAGTTTCCTCATCTGTAAAGTGGGCTTGGTGGGATGCTGCAGGCTACATTCCTGGCAGGCAGGACGTGCTCAGGAAAGGTCAGCCGCTGTGTCCGTCTGGACCACAGAGCGAGCTCCAGTCGGATGGATGGATGTGTGTGGTCGGGTGGAGTAAGGATCGGGGGTTCAGGCTCCGACCTCAGCCCTCCCGTGTCTCTCTCGTCTCCCTCGGCAGGCCCCACAGTATACAGGCCCCCAAGCTCAAGGCCGTGCTCACCCACAGCTGCTCGGGGGAAGGCTCAGGGCACCGAAGGCGGCGTTACCCATTACGAGTGCGATTCGCCGACGAGACCCTACGGGACACAGCACTCCGCTACTGGGAGCGCAGCTGTGCATGTAAGCAGATGGGGTGGGGAGTCCCAGGACTCCAGAAGGTTCCAGCCCGGACCTGGGAGAGCAGAGGCTGTGGCCCTGGGTCCTGGGAATAAGGGGCCAGCTTGCAGGGGCTGAGAGGTCACTGACCCTGCAGGGGAGGTACCTGAACTAGCTTCTCGGGAGGATGTCAGGTGACCTTCAAGGACCAAGTAGTGGGTCCAGCAGAAATGTCCCAAAGTGGATGGCAGCAGGGAGCAGCCACAGTGTAGGCCCAGGAGACAGTGGCTGCCCAGGCCTGGCAACCACTGAAGGACTTCTAGCTGCCACAGGTTCCCACGTGCCACGCCTATGCACCGTGAGGCCGTCACCCGCAGCCTCCTGAACCCGCATCTGGACCCCCCACACAGCCTCCACAGGCTGGAGAAGGTGGGAAAGCACCAGAAGCATCAACTTCCCATATCCGTGAAGCAGACCTGGATGAAGAGGTGCCCAGAAAGGTCCAGAAGCTTAAACCCCCTCTCTCCTGGGGACGGCCAGACCACCGGGTCTGGAAAAGAAGCCCACCAAGCCCCAGCTCCCAGCAGAAGTTTGCTCTCGGCTCTTTGGGGATGGATGTGATACTATCTGTCAGTCTGGGCAGTTTCCAGCATTTCCCGGTGTCAGGAGTCAGGCGGGAAGAACGCGTGTCCTTTACCAAACCCCCTTTCTCCATCCGCCTGGCCTCTTCCCTTCTCTTAGGATCCAGCAGCCCCCATAGTCTCAACAGGCAACAGCCTGCGTCTATTGTTTGAGCACCTACTGTATGCAGTTTCAGGAAACGGCTGCCCCCAAGCCTAGCTGTGGTAAAGCCCTAAATATCCAAAACCTTCGTGGACTCAGGAGGGACGCTACCCAGCTCCCTGAGGGGCACAGGAAGTTGGAGATAGAAGCTGCCATTTTGCCCTACTTTGGGTTGTTCGATGAGGAAGCCGAGGCTGTGACAGCAGGTGACACGGCAGGCAAGAAGAGAAGCCAGAGCGGCCTTGGTCACTCTGGAAGTCTAAGGAAAGGAGATGCCCCCGAGGAACGATTTCATGCAAATGGCAGTCGGCTGGCCTGGGAGAGCTTCCTGCTCAGCCACCAGTCACAGAAGCTAGTGGTCGCACTCTGGGGTGCCGGAGTGAGGCTCTGTGGGTGCTACCCAGCCCCGTCCATCTTCGGGGTTCGTGACCAGCCGAAAGGGCAGCTGTTAGACAGGGGAGATACCCAGTTTCCAGAACCTCTCTCCATCCCCGTAGGAGCCTCGGCATCCCCTCTTGGATTTCTATGGTGGGGTGTCTGGCTTTCCCACTGTGGAAAAGGGGGTCCATTTTGGGCTGGAGCAGGAGTGGGTGTGGGGGGGCACAGAATGGGTAATAAAAGCAGAAACAGTCATGCAAGATAGTTTTAAACCTGAGCTTCTCTGGAGGCAGCCAGAAGGTGCTGGGGAGCCTTGGGTTTCCATGGAGACTGGCTCTGCCCGCCTTGCCTGCCGGGGGGGGGGTCGTGCCCCTCCCGAGTAGAGTCCTCACAGTGCCCTCTCCCCTCCAGTCCAGCAGGGCATCATTGAGAACCAGCCGGCCACCCAGTCGACAGCATCGGCGCGTGTGTTTGGGAGTGTCAAGAGATGGCTGGAGAGTTTGCCCAAAGCCCTGTACTCCAGAGCCAAGGAGGAGCCCGCGGCCAGCTCCCCGTTCAACTGCCCTGGCCTGTGAGGCTTCCCAGAGGGGCTGGGATTCATGCGCACGGCGGGGGGCTTCCTCTCCTCACCCTGTGCAGGAGGGGGCGGGCTGTGGGTCTGGGCCCGGGCCCTTGCCCTGCCGGTCACACTTGGGCCTGGGACCTGGGATCTGGGACCTGGGACCTGGGACCCGGGACCCATGCAGCTCACGGCCTCCCACCCCCTCAGGCTCATCCCGGAGCCACAGGGCCACCTCTCTGAGGATACCTCCATGGAAAGCAGCAGCCCGCCCTTCATGCCCAGGGCCGCCACCCCGAGGCAGCGAAGGGGCCTCAAAACCTTTCTGGGCACCCACAGAATCCTGGATCGGGTAGGTAAATTGCCCTGCTTCTGGAGCCAGAAACTGGTGAGCACTTACAGGCAGCCGGCCCCCTGGAGCACCCCTGCCTGACGGGGTTGCCAGGGTGCGGGTTAAAGCCTCCTGACGTGCTTGGCTAAGGGTGGGCTCTCGAGCTGAGCTGCCTGGTTCAGATCCCAGCTCCATACTTACAGTCTATGCATTTCACCTTCTTCATCTGTAAAATAGGGTTGACAGCTGTGTCTGTCCCTTAGCACTGCGGCATAGAATCCCCCTGGGCCCTGGGGGCCCCCACGGCACCCACTCAGTCCTCCTTCCCACTCCAGGGCATCTGCCAGCCCCACTTGGTGCTGCACACAATCCTGAAACCAAGCCGCCCGAAGGGGTACCAGCTCCTCCTGCCTTCTGTACCACGGCAGCGGGGTCGGCGATGAAAGGCCGCTGGAGCCCAAGCCCAAGCGTGGACATGGCTGGGGGTCAGGAGAGGCCTTCCTTGCCCCACAAATAAATGCACATCGCAGGTGGCTAGCACCTGCTGCCGGGTCTCGCCCTACGCGCTTCTCCAGGTGTCTGATTGCCGATCTCCAAGGTTGTTGGACCAGGGGGAGGCAGGGGGCAGAATCACAGCTGGGATGAGGTTGACAGGTAGAGACAAGTCATCCCCAGGAGTCAGGCCTTGTTCCAAGTGAACCTTCCTTCTGGAAGGTGGGAGACCCTGCCACACACCTCAAACCTGGGGTCAGACCTCTGTCGATCTGGATCAGCCCACACTTGAAATGGGCGCCTGCCCAGACCTCTGCCCCCAGCCTCCATCTCTGATGGAATCAAAGTGGCTTGCCGACCTCCCACTGTGGGGCGAGCGTGTCCACACTCAGGCTGGGGGAAAAGAACCCCGTGTGTGCGCAAACGTTTGTCTTCTGCGTCCCCCGGGCCAGACTCACACCACCTGGTCCCTGGAGGGCAAGCATCTGGGTGTGCGGAAGGGCAGGGACAGGTGTTCCTCTCCTAGTCATGGAGGAAGAGGAAGGGCCATGTTCAAAGCCACTTCCGAAGGTGGCAAAAGACTAGGCGGCAGGTACTGCCTGGAGTTTATCTGACCGCTGCACTGACCCAGCAGTGCCACCCCATACGCCTGTCTACCAGGTGTGGCCCCGCCACAAACTGTTCCAACCTCCTAGACCAAGTTTGTGCCCCCTACCCTCCTTGAAGCCCCGCGTTGGCATCAACGCCTCACCAGGCCCAAGATCTAGGTCTCTATCGCCACCTCCTGGCCAGTGAGGAAACTGCCGAGGAATTTACAGCCAGGCACCGTGCTGAATAGGAGGAAAAGGGTGGGTTTGGGCTGGACAGGCGGTGGCGATCTTAGGGCCAGAACAGTTTGTGGAGCGGGGAGACCTGTTTTGAAGGGGTGCCGTGGTCCCAGAAGAAAAGGCGACAGATCTAGGCACAGTCTGGACAAACCCTCTGGAAGATGGGCTGGGAGCAGTACTACCATCCTTTTCACAGGGTGGGGAGGGCTGGAGTGGGATTTCAATCCCTGGGATGACCTCTTCCCTCCACCCCTTTTCTGGACTTTCACGCCCGCCCCCCTGCCAACAGTATTTCTATTTCCTTGGAGAGTCTGCGGGTCTCAGAGGAGGCCTGATTCTCCCGCACCTCCTTCCTGTGACCTTGCGCGGCCCGCCTCGCGCTCTCCCAGCCTCAGTTTCCCCCGCCCGGCCGCCGACTGCAGCGCCGCGCTGCGCCCACGCGGGGGCAGTGTTGGCCTGGCTTTGGCGCTGCCGGGCGCGG